TCCCCGGAACATGATAAATATGCTAGCTTCTCTGGCAGAAGAGGAGAGAACAAATGAGCTGAAACTGACCCACATTCACGTCTTCACCTGCTCACAGGTCCTTAAGGTGATTTTCAGAGGAAGAAACGGATTATTCTCTGCACTCTCATGTAAGAAATTCACTGTTAATTGAAAATAAGCCTTGAATAGCAGGAAGCTGGAAGAAGGTGGCTCGTCCTCGATTATGTAACACTAACATTCACCTGTGGTTGTTCTTGTGTCCTGCATACTTAGCATTGGCATGCATGAAATGAGCAGACTGTATCTGTAAACCAGCATAAGTACTGCAAAGAAACTGTCTTAAATAGAAATGAGAAGTTTGAATGACACCTGCATGATGCTGATTTTTGTATCTGTGAAACTAGTTTGCAATTTTACAATTTTAAGGAGTAGTTGAACATTCTTTGATGGGCTGGTTTCATGAGAACATTGATACCACAGTAAAGTCAGAGAGTAGTGAAACTGTTAGCTTTAAGTCAAATTGCAACAGACGCCACCCACTGCACCTGTAGTTAATGACTGATTAATAAATTAATTGTACAATTTTTCAGTTTCACAAACTGGAACAAGTCACAAAAATGACTTTTATGAAAAAGCCAACATGTTCCATGTAATCTCCTTGGATTTTCTTAGATCACTATACGTGTTGACTAAGTGCAGTGACGTCTGAAGATTGTAGGAGGTATTCTCATGGAACATGTGGCCTAAATGTGAAGAATCGTTTCCCCAGAGTCACATTTCACTTTCTACAAATAGCTATACTCACTGTGCATGTGGAAAAGTCATTGTCTGAGATTTGTCCTCCCACTGTCTTACTTGTGTGACCACATTGTTTGTCATGTGAAAGGAGAAATGCTGGGCAGCATAGCAGAGTTGTGATGTGTCCTATGTGTAGATCCAGAATGAAAGCAGACAATTGGGTTTTTATGCAAATGTTTTAATGTTTTGCACCTTGTACCACACTTTGCAATCATTTCAGAATCCACTGTAACACAGTCATGCTAGCTCCATTTATTTTAGCCCCAATGAGACTGAAATGTGTCCGTATCTAACTGGCTGTATACAGTGGCTTTTACTTAAATCATAGGTTTTCCCTAACACACTGAATTATTAGTGTAATGAGTACAAACTGCTTTTCTGTCGATTGTGAATGACATCAACTTTAGTGCTTCTTTAGCTGTAGTCCTACTGCTGTGTGGAGTGCTCAACTTATATAAATATATGATGCTATAAAGTGACCTTTTTAGTCTTTGAACTGAGCTGGACACTTTGAATTTTAGTGTTGAATTTTTAGAAGAAATTATTTCTATTTTTATATGTGGAAAAAGGCAGTGGCATGTACTGTAACATAAAGATGTATACTTAAAGCTCTGATTGTTGGTTCAGTCATATGAAACATAATAAATGCTTGAAAAGATTCCTCAAGATTGCTGTTTGTTCAAGTTGTGGCCAATGTCTCCTTTAAACAAATGTTTAGTCTGGGACCCAAGCTACATGTGAAGTCCTTAAAGACACTTAACCTCTTTTTCCAATAGGTGTTAAACTTGTCGCACTGCCAACAGGCCCAGACAGGCCGGGATGTGTTTGAGTTCTAGAGATCACAGGGGTCAAGGGGTGAATCTGATACCTAACAGGTGTCTTCACCCGTCGCAGATGGAAGAGTTACTGTACACTTTCTTGGAGAACAGTAGGAGTGATTTCCTGAAGGGTTCTTTATGGCAGTGAGCTCTGCTGCCTCAGTAGTGTAGAGTGGGAGAGATGGGTTGTCCATGATGGAGAGCAGTTTGTTCAGTGACCTCCTGCCCCTCAAAGACTTGAACGCATCCAAATTCTGACCAATGATGGTTTCAGCCTTGGGAAACAGGAGACAGCTGAAGTGCTGTCACTGATCCCGAGGAGCTTCTCATTCAGCAAAAGTGATTGGATGATGTTAAAGGCACTGGAAAAAACAATTAATTTCATTTAGATTTTTTTAGTGCCAACTCACAAGGCACTTTAAATTGCATTTTAAAGACCCTTACAACTATCCAGAGAAAAACCCCAACAATCAGATGAGACTTGGTGACAATGGGAAGGAAAAACCTTTAACAGTTAAAACTTCTGGCAGAACCAGGCCCCACAATCACCTCCTCACTCCTGCTTTTCCTTCTCTCGTGTTGCCTCCAAACACACCTTCACCTCCCCTCTTCCTTTGTCTTTGGCCAACAGTTTCCACCGGCACTCTAGTGATGATCGTTAACCCGAGCCCCAACCGATCTGGTATGGAAATCTCATTCTTCTTCATCCGCATGTTTGGTTTGGCAAAGATTTTATGCCAGATGCCCTCCCTAACACAACCCTCCCCATTTATCTGGGCACTAGGAGTATACAGGCTTATGGCCTCCCATGTGGTAATGTTATGTTAGAATTCATATTTTGGTACGAAGACTCATTCCTGAAGAAACCCTTGTTCCAATCAGAGGGGTGGCTAAGTCATGTTATATGAGTACCCCTGCACGTTTCATGGTGCTACTTTGTGGAAACATACAGGTGTTCTAAATATTTATTCACATAAATTTATTTCATAATTAAAACAACATCAATCACATACGTGAGTGTCAGCGGTTCAGAACAGTCTAATTCCAAACTGGAATGATGTCTAAGGAAAAAAAACGGCTACAAAATAGGATATGGGGTTATTTCTGCCAAATCCAATTACCTTTGTGCTAATGCACAGTCTTAACAGGTAGCCCAAATACAGATTAGGAGCATATGCAGTGGAAACCTGATCTCTGCTGTCAAGCTAAATCTGATTTTCCCAACCTGTGCTTCATTTTTTAACAAGCAAAATGGGCTCAACGTTTTCATGCCGATTAAATCATAGAGTAAGCGGCTGTGGTTCAGAAGAGATTAGCACTGTCAAAAAAAACATTTCCTTTTCTGCTCTATTGTAAAACCTTCAGACTTCAGGCAGAAAACAAGTGTAAGGTTTCTCTGACAGATTTCTACTTTGCATAACAATAATTTCAGACTTGGAGAAAAAAAGTATTGTGCTCATTGGAAATTAAAACAGTTAACAGATGGATTTAACAGCTACAGATTAATGTTCCTGTGCCTGATAGAATTTCAGCTGCTTAAACTTTATCCTAATAATAGCTAATAATGTTACCTGCCTGAGGTACTGTAACCTACTTGGCAAAGATTGGACTACGTGGAATTAATCCCATGCTGTCTGATACAGATGTCCAGATTGTAACCAAGTATACTGATCTACAAACTGGCAACAAATAAACAAAATTTAACAAAAGACGTTTCACTGTGTGGTATAATTTTGTGTTTATTCCTTTATTTATCAATTCAGTTCAGTTCAATTCAATTTTATTTATACAGCGCTTTATATTGTAAGGTAGAGCGTAATACATACAGAGAAAAACCCAACAATTATATGACCCCCTATGAGCAAGCACTTTGGCAACAGGGGAGGAAAAACTCCCTTTTAAAAGGAAGAAACCTCCGACAGAACCAGGCTCAGGGAGGGGCAGGGCCATCTGCTGCGACTGGTTGGGGAGAAAGAAGGAAGACAGGATATAAGACATGCTGTGGAAGAGATTACTATAAGTGTACAAGAGCTAGCTAAATGGCAATTTTTCAGCCGTTAACTCGTTGATATTTCCAGCCACTTACAACTGCCGATGAGAAAAGTTTTGGATTAACAAAATTTAAAAAAAGTTCACAGCCATACCAAAATGCATGCTAATCAGTATGCTTAGTAAACAGGTGTATCATGTGCAATTTTACCATGCTAACACAGTTAGTAGTGAAGGTCAATGTTACTACAACACACTGCATAGAAATATGTGCACAAAATGGTATTGTAGTTATTTAGCATGTTATTTAGCATTCATGTAAAATGATACGGCCATTATGGTGCAAAACCGAAAGTAGCAGTCTCACCAAAATGAGTTCATATTGACTCTTTGGGAGTTTTTTGATGTCAGTTGAAATATTAAAGTTGAAAAATCTAGTTAATCAAATCCATTTATTCAAAATCTGATTTTTTAAAATAGAAATGGCTTGGATCACATGACTTACAAAACCAAGCCTATAACTTAACAACCACCTCTAGACGTTTAGATTTTCCTCCTGTAATGCTATTTTTGATACACTTTTGTCCTTTGTCAGAGATAATGTATTTATCCAGGGAATGCTGGTATCACAAGGTGATGTGAATAAAGTGTATTGTATCAAACTAGGCTGTAGCTTAGTTGTTGTTGAAGGTGACATTCGTAAACTCTCTTAGGCCTGAGTGATTCCAGTCCTTCCAAAGTGCCCTGTATACAAATGAGATCATGTGGCTGAGAAATCCAATTTAAGCTGGCAGTGTTAAGTGCAGAAGACGTTGAGAGCAGAGGTGGGGGAGATGGCGTCAGCTTGACCAGCTGCACTTGTGACACAAGTATAACATCTGCTACATTTATTTTCCATATGGTTTGTCTTACGTGCTTTCAATAGCCTTTCTTGTGGCACCGGTGGCGCCTGTGTCCGGCAGCCTCGCCTCTGTCAGTGCGCCCCAGGGCAGCTGTGGCTACAATGTAGCTTGCCATCGCCAGTGTGTGAATGTGTGTGTGGATGGGTGAATGACTGAATGTAGTGTAAAGCGCTTTGGGGTCCTATGGACTAGAAAAGCGCTATACAAATGCAGGCCATTTACCATTTACCATTCTTGTGGAAATAAAAGAGTAATGCTTATTTTGTTCTATTAAGAAGAAGCCTAATTGTTAAAATTATTGAGTTTCAACAGTCCTTTCTACTTGTGCTTGTCAGTTTTAGTTTATTGTGTTGAAGCAGAAGACGTTTCTGGGGAGGTGAATGTAACCAAATGGCTAGAGCTAGAGAGAAATCTAATTGGATTACCACGCAGTACTTCAACAGAATCTCTCTCCCGATCCCACTGCTGGCGATCATCAAAGAAAACCCAGTGTTCCCCCGTGAGCAAACACGGGATTAACTGCTCAGTTGTGTCAGTTTTGAACCAATACGACCGCGCTGGTTCTTCTGCTTTCAAAAAGACAACTTCAACTTCTAACCGAGACTTGGAAAATTCAAGCTGCATGTTGGATTTCCAGTGCAATGATCATACAATCTGATGAACAGGGCTGGTGGTGCCTTTGCAAAGAGTCACACGGAGAAGCGCAGTGGCTTTCGTGCATTTCATAATTTTCTCTGACTTTTTTTGAAAATGGAAATTTGACAATATCATCAGAGAAAGATTAGGATGCTTTATTCTGCTTTACTCTTTTTTTCATCACTTTAACAGCCCAGAGCAACTGATCATGCACATGATCAAGCCTTTGAGGACACTGTGTTTTGGAGTCTTCGGGAATCCTAACCTCTTTGGCACCGACAAAGACTTATCAGTAGTGATAAAGGATTGTCCTTGTTCGTTTGGGAAATCCAACGCAGCAAAAAACTGATGGAAGTCGGGAAACTGGCAGGATTGAGTTTCCTGGGGGGTAGAAGGAATCATCATATTTCAGAGAGCCAATGGACTCCAAGGTAATTGAGAATTCCTAGACTTCTTCTGGCTCCCACAAGGATTTTCGAAGAGTGTTTTCGACGGAGGAGGATTTAAATGGTGCTAATAACGGAGGAACAAGGTAAAGGTTCAAAGGTTCAAGAGAATGGAGTGGCTGGAGGAGTCAGAATTAGTAAGACTGAGTATAGAACCAATAAAGTGGATATGGATATTCCTGTCATGTCCATCACCAAGGCTGGCAAAGACGACGATGAGAGCGAGGAATCAAGCGAGGCAGATAATGAGGAACTTGAAATCGATTACACTCGAAATTACTGGGAGGATGAAGATGATATCTACCAGGAATTTGAAGAGTTGGACTTTGAGACCTTGCCCGATCGCTCAGACACACAGAGCATTGCCTCAGATGACTCCTTCTATCCCCTCGACAATTCAGTCACCTCTCACATGCGCTACTCGTTTAGCTCTGACAGTCCAGAGCCCATCTCCTTCTTCAAGGCCTGCTGCAACAACAATGCCGTCATTGTCAAGATCATGATCAGACAAGGAGTGACTGAAGAGGAAGTGAAGGAGACTGACAGAAACAGAAGAGTTGGTATCTGTGCATTTATTAGAATAATGTCTTTGACAAAGTCTCACGCACCTTTTTATTCATAAATAATGTTTTTTTATGAAAAAATTAATAGCAGTACAAATGGAAAACTGCGCTGCTGTCTTTCAACGTCATTAGTACAGTTGTGTTCATAAATACCTTTGCTTCTGTACATGTAATGTGTCAGTAGGTCTTACCTTGGTCTCGACTTAACTTTACGAACAATAACAAAACCATATTAAGGTAGACTGCTTGATTTAAAAAAAAAAAGCATCTATTAAAAGTGCCTGGGTGGCTATCAGCACATAGTCTTCAAAACAACATATAAGAATATGCTTACAAGATATGCGATTACTCGTGACAGCTGTGCAGCACTGAGGTTACGGTCATAATTCAGTTGTATACAGATATGATAGAACTTTGACAAACATTTATGCAAGCACACCATTCACTGTGTCAGATTACACACCTCAAGCAATTTTAAATTTAAATAATTTGAAAGTGCAAAACAAAATATTACACACCTGTGATTTTCTTATGACACCCTTTATGCCTGCTTTGAGTAAAAGAATGCTATCATCATCCTGCTCTATCACTGATATCTGGTTTTTCTGTCAGGTCAGCTGAGCATGGTCTAGCTCTTAAAACCCAGTAAGACACTGAAGGTCAGATCCTAAAGGAGGTTCAGAGCAGTTGGTTAAGCCTTCAGTGACAGATGGGCCAGTGCAGTTACCGTGTCACAATGCAGCTTGCCAACCTTGCCCAACCTTTTAAAGGCTTACTATCAGAGGTGTGGACTCGAGTCACATGACTTGGACTCGAGTCAGACTCGAGTCATTAATTTTATGACTTTAGACTTGACTTGAAAAAATGTTCTAAGACTTGTGACTTGACTTGGACTTTTACACCAATGACTTGGGACTTGAATTGGACTTGAACCGGTTTACTTGAAAAGACTTGATATTTTACCCCAAATATAAAATTTAACATGCATATTATATAGAGATTGAAAATGTGACGTCATTCACGGGTAGAACCGCAAAGGATTCTGGGAACTCGTGGCAAGCGGTACTAGCGCACGCAGGCTTTCAATTAAAATCAGTTATACAGCGATAAAAAGAAACACAAAAATGTCAAGAAGCCGTTGTATTATTAACTGCAATAGCCGGTCGCATGACAGCCACGGGAAGCCGACGGTTAAAGAGATCGGTTGTTATCGGATTACGTCGTTGAAGAGAAATTGTTCAAGCCATGTTTCCAAAGTAACAAAGGCGACTGGATTGCAGCCATTCAAAGATCAAATATAACGTCCCAGAACACTCCAGCTCACAGGTTAGTCTGCTCCAAGCATTTACACGAAGGTCAGTGTTTTGTAGTAGTTAATACGTCATTTTCATAACATAATTAGTGATATAGGTTACAAGCAAGTCTGGCGCTGAACAGAAATTGTCGCGCTATGCTCCTTTATTTATTGTGTTTATTGTGCATAAATAGTGAATTGTCCTGACACAATATTGTGTTTCGCTTCTGTTATTATGGTACATTGACAAAAACATATACTTTTATTCACAGGATAAAACAGGTTTTTTGTATCACTAATTGCCCAGTACGATTACAGCATACAGTATTATTGTCACTGCTACATTTCTGTGATGCTACCAGAAATTATTTCCACTGCTAATTAATTACCATTGAGCTCAAAGGTCCTATTAATAAACGGTTAACGAATGTGTATTTATGACGACAATTTGTGAGACTGGTAAACTTATGATACGTACGATGGTCTTTCGTTCTACACGGTGCATTTCAAGGTCCTGTACCCATCCGTCGGTAAACTGTACCTGGGCTTGTTGCAGTGACCTGAAGTTACTAAACTTCATGAGTGTATGCGCTCACTCCAAGAACCGTATAATTATAAATATGCATATAAATATGCTAAGATGAGATAGCTGACTTCATCTAACTAGCAAATGTTGTCCAGGCTACGTTGGTGATACAGTTTTGTTTTTTTTTATGTGTATGATATTTTTGTCATGCAATTTTAAAGCCAGTCCTACAAGCGCATCCAAGAATAACATGCAGCTTATCTCAGAACTGTCGGTGAAAATTATTCTTGGAGCTAGGTTTAATTGAGCTGCATTTTAAAGAGGTGCAATTTCACAATTTGTGTATATTTTCTAAGTTCACTATTTTGTCATGAAATACCATGAAATAACCATGAAATTTATACCTTTTCATTCTTGATAGATGTCTGACTTTTAGTTTAAGTTCTTGCCAATATCTCACCTACAGGTGAGGTGAGGATCTTTTTTTAAACCCGGTTACTGTCTCTTGGTCATTTTTAGACATCCCACTTCCAGTGAATCACTTCCACTTTACACCACAATTACTTCAGTTTCTTTGATTTTCTTTGTTGTTTTAGTGGCCAATGCTCGCACAGACCTGTGAATTTAGAACAACTAATTCACAAACACATGCTAAATGGTAAGAACCATAGAGACCGCAATGTTGTTGTTTTCCATATTCAGATGAAAAGGTGGAGTGCTAATTTCACCTGTTTGCTTAGCAAGCTGCACACACATATTGGCTAATTAGTGCAAAGACCCTGCCTAACTACACAGACACAAACTACTACTGCACAAACTACAGTACTAGTAGGCGATTTGACCAGCTGCACTTGTGACACTTATTTTAAGTATAACATCTGCTACATTTATTTTCCATATGGTTTGTCTTACGTGCTTTCAATAGCCTTTCTTGTGAAAATAAAAGAGTAATGCTTATTTTGTTCTATTAAGAAGAAGCCTAATTGTTAAAATTATTGAGTTTCAACAGTCCTTTCTACTTGTGCTTGTCAGTTTTAGTTTATTGTGTTGAAGTTTATTGTGTTATTTATCACATAATTTTGTGACTTCAGTCAAAGGAGGTGAGGCCCAGCAGGCAGGAATGGTTCCAGTTGCCATTGTTGGCAGCTGGAACCATTTCAGCTGCCAACACTGCTGCCAAACTTTAGTCAAAGTCTGAGTCAAAAATCTAACTCTAGTTTCCAGTTGGTTAAAAAAAATCTCTTTGTGTACCAGGCTGTTACACAAAGGCACATTTACAGCACATTAATGCTTTAAAGTTGGACATTTTATAACATGGTAGTCAATGGGATGGCTCACTTTGAATCCAGCTGCAGTTGACCACTAAAGGAAGCACAGTTCTTGGCACTTTTGGCACGTTTTTGTTCTTAACAAAGTTAAGAAAGCTGTGTTTTATTGTTAATCTGAAGATAAATTTGAAAGTGAACTTATTTCTGAACATTTCTGCACACTGGGTAGAAGATTCTGTATGTTCTGTTGAGCTGGAACACACAGTGGAGAGTAGTTCTGGATTAATGTGAAGTCCTTAGGGTCGCCTTGATTATGAATGTGTTGTCATGGGTGTTGCTATCAAATTGGCTGACATCATCTCTATCAACAGCTTGCTTTTTTACCAAAACTTTTTTACCAGCCGTTTGAAAAACGATTACCCAATGCCCTTTAGATCTGCTGTCTCTATGGGAAATTCTTCTTGGAATCACAACACTGTGGGGTCAACCCACTAACTGTTTGCACTCTTTGTGAAGCACAAAAGACCCAATTATTGGCATATGACTGCAAACTGGATGTCATCTTTAATATGTGTTGTGTTGGAAGCAGACTGGCCAGAGACTGCAGCAGAAACCTCAAAACCCATCTCAGTCTTCTTGTGCATTTACCAGCAGCGTGCCCAATTCATAAACTTTGGCATTTTCTAACAAAAGCAAACTGAAAATGTGTGCACACTACAAATGGATAAAGAAAGCAATGACCAGTGGATTTTGTTTTTCTTTGTACAGGTAAGACATATTTACAAGGAAAAATCACTCATTCTGATTCTAGATCATTAAATTTTTAAATAAAAAAATCATGCAAATCTAAACCTCTTTGGGTTTTGTACTGTTAATCAGAGAAAAACAAATTTAAATGAGACCAATAATCAAGGACATGTTTTGTGAATAATCAACACCAAAAATAATAGTTGCAATCTTAATAGTTTAACTTCATGGCACTGCTATTGTCTTAAAGTTGAATAACTGCCATTACTTGCCTTGCAATCAAGTTCTGGTTGAGCAATAAAAGCTTCTTCTAAAGCAAAAACATGTATAATATTTTTTCATTGTTGTACTACACGATTTGGGAAGACTGGTGTGCACAAAATGTCTTGTTGTCTTGACTGGACACAAACTACTATTACATGTGGTGAAACAGTACAGCTAACCCCCCCCCCCCCCCCCCCCCCCCCAAACCCATCTCCATAGAGACTGTGTCAGCTCCCAAAAAGACAAAAAAACAAACTAAAAACCAGCAACAAACAACTTAAACATAAACAATTACAAAGAAAGAACAATACAGTATCCACATCTGAACCAAAGAGTAAAACAGTGAAATGTAGATTATTAAATATTAGGTCTCTCTCCTCTGTTGACTTAATAATTGATCAACAAATCGATCTACTCTGCCTTACAGAAACCTGGTTGCAGCAGGATGATTATGTTAGCTTAAATGAATCAACACCCCCGAGACATTCTAACTACCAGAAATCTTGAAGCACAGGCCGAGGGGGCGGTGTGGCAGCAATTTTTCACACCAGCCTATTAATTAACGAAAGACCAAGACAGACTTTTAATTCATTTGAAAGCCTGATGCTTAGCCTTGTCCACCCCAGCTGTAAAACTCAGAAACCAGTCTTACTTGTTATCATCTATCGTCCACCTGGGCCTTACACAGAGTTTCTGTCTGATTTCTCAGACTTTATATCTAATTTAGTTCTCAGCTCAGATAAAATAATTATTGTGGGTGATTTTAACATCCATGTAGATGCTAAAAATGACAGCCTCAACATGGCATTTAATCTGTTATTAGACTCAATTGGCTTCTCTCAAAATGTAAAAGAACCCACCCACCACTTTAATCACACTCTAGATCTTGTTTTGACATATGGCATAGAAACTGAACATTTGACAGTGTTTCCTGAAAACCCTCTCCTGTCTGATCATTTCCTGATAGCATTTACATTTACAATAATTGATTACACAGAAGTGGAGAGTAGACTTTATCAAAGTAGATGTCTTTCTGAAAGCGCTGTAACTAAGTTTAAGAATATAATCCACCCACTGTGATCATCTTCAATGACCTGTACCAACATAGAGCAGAGCAGCTATCTGAACGCTACTCCAACAGAGGTCGATTATCTTGTTAATAATTTTAACAATAACAATAATTTTACCTCCTCACAGTTTTTCCTTCCCACTGTCGCCAAAGTGCTTGCTCATAGGGGGTCATATGATTGTTGGGTTTTTCTCTTTATCTATGAAGCGCCTTGAGGCAACTTTTGTTGTGATTTGGCGCTATATAAATAAAATTGAATTGAATTGAATTAATGTATGTTCATTGCATGAATGCACGCACACACAGTATTGACTACACTAACACTAATGTCATCTACAAACTGAACCTGCAGTGTGCCACTTTGCTGACCAGATACACTAAACGATTTAACAGCAATGACCTTTTAAAACAAATGCAAATCTGCTCAAAGCAACTTTGTTTAGAGCAAAAAAAGATTGTCCAGCCCGAAACCTTTACCAGTGTGTTCCCACTCACTGTGACAAAAACAAAACAGAACACCACCTTGTTATTCACATGTAAGCGGGCAGACCAGTAAGATTTATTTTTTTATGGCAATCACCACATTGCTTTTTGTCCTGGAGGTGAACATTTTTATAGAGCCATAAAAAGAGAATATAACAACAAGCTTCACTGTAAATAAGAATGATTTTGTGTGTGTGTGTGTGTGTGTGTTTTAGGAGCTGAAATAAATCACAGAAAAAGAAAACGTTGGATGCCAAGGCGTTTTGTTTTTGTGTTTCAGTCTGGCTTGATTGTGGCGTGCTATAACGGCTATGTGGATGTGGTCATCGCTCTTTCTCAATGCCCGTATCTGGATGTTAACTGGCAGGACAACGAGGGGAACACCGCTCTTATAACTGCAGCTCAAGCAGGTAACACCCCCCCCCAGGCCTTTGAATCAAATCCCACCACAGTCCATACTTGCACACATGTTTTAAAAACAGAGGTTTTGAAACTGAGTATACTTTTGAAATTTAACAGTCTAATCGTTTAAATTCTTTCTTGTTATTCTTTTACAGAATGTTTCTTGTTATGACAGCTTGCAAATGATTTTTTTCTTGAAATAATAACAAATATTTCATCTTATATATCTTAAATTGTTCTTGTTTTTCTAAGAACAGTCAAAGTTACTCAGATCATACAATGTTTAGTAAAAATGTGATAACAAGTTTCTTCTATATGTTATTTAAAAAGCTGTGTGGCTGATTTGTATGTTTTAGATACAAAACTCCAACAGTAACATAAACAGTCAGATAATGAAGTAAAATATAAAATACATAATGCCGCTTAATGTATGCACATGCTAATATGTTGAGCTGTAAGTTTGGTATGTGTTCCAGTGAAGGCTGGACTCTCTCTGCACTCCAATGTACGCTGCTCCTTTGTGGAAGAGCTACAGAGAGAGCAGTGTGCAGAAACTCACTGAAGCATATAATGATGGATTTAGGCTGAATCTCAAGTTGCAAAGGTGGAGCAGTGCAAGCCAAATGTTTGTTAGTGTTGGAGTTCCTACCTGTCATGCTATATTTCACAATCTGATGCACAGTTGTATGTGTAGCGTAAAGAACTCCAGAATGTAATTTGCATGTATGCATTTTATTTGCTCGTGTGTGTCTTTAATAAAGTGAAATCAACTGAACTATAGTGATAGAACAATAGAGAGGGACATAAGAGGGAAGTAAAAGTCAAGCAGGCTTCATATGCTACTTAAGTACTCCATCTATTTGCTTCCGCTTATCCTTTTTCAGGGTCGCGGGGGGCGCTGAAGCCTATCCCAGCTGTCAAGCACTGTTTGTTAGGCGTGGTACACCCTGGACAGGTCGCCAGTCTGTCACAGGGCTAACACACAGAGACAGACTACTTAAGTACAGTATAGTGTAAACGTACTTAGTCACATTCCAGCTTCCTCAATTTTCCTGAATTAAGCCAACTCAAATAAACTGAGTTGATCAGCTTTTTAACGAAAAATACTGGTAACTTAATTAAAGGTAATTAATATTTTTAATTAACGCCAATATTAGGTTTATAAGGTATAAGGACATAGATGGTTTCTGATGGATTAATGGTTCTATTTATATTGTTTATTAACTATGTTCTGATACAAGATGAAGCAATCACATCGTGTGTGTGCGCGCGCATGTGTTCCTGTCAAGCTATCTTTGTGAGGCCTGAAATCTGCATTCTACTATACTTGTGAGAACCAACAGTCACTTGTGAGGACACACACACCGGTCCTCACAAATTTGAAGGCCTTTTTGAGGCTCAAAATGTGGTTTTGGTGTCAGGGTTACAATTAGGTTATGGTTAGGTTTAGGGTAAGGGTAAGTGTTTGGGTTAGGCATTCATTTTTAATGGTTAGGTTTAGGGTAAGGGGCTAGGGAAAGCATTATGTCAATGAAGGTCCTCACTAAGATAGCTGAACGGGATTGTGTGTGTGTGTGTGTGTGTGTGTGTGTGTGTGTGTGTGTGTGTGTGTGTGTGTGTGTGTGTGTGTGTGTGTGTGTGTAAAAGCCCTCCATGGTAATCACATTCTATATGTCATTGATACATCTTATAGAATGTGATGACGTCACAGCTCCAGAGCTGTGTTTTCTCCACAAACACGACTTCAGTTATGTTACAGATTGCTAATGTTGATCTGTAACTGTGATTTTCTTCCAACCTTGCAAATGTTCCATCAACAAATGCAGAAAAACATGCAACTCTGTGAAGCCCAAAGATCCCAGAATACGTTGGTAAGTCTTTCCGATGAAACCTTTTGGTTTAAATTGAAAGACGTGACCACCTACGGCCATCTTAAGACGGAAATTTACACAGTGGGTAACTGGATCCCAAAATTCTGGGAGGATGAAAAATCATCTGTGCCACAGATAGAGCAGATAGTTTTTGAAGAACATTTCTGGACCATCATGGTAAACGAAGTCCTGTGTGCCCACATCCAACACGAAGCCTTCAAGGTGGCTGATCTGATCAGGAGAGAATGTGAGAGTCGAAAGAAGCCAGCAAGACAAAAGAAGAATGAAAAACCAGCCAAGCTGCGCCAAAGGACAACTTCTTGTCCGTTCTGAAAAATTTTGAAGAGCACGCTCACCTCCAGAAGGAAGCAAATAAAGTGGCTGAGCTGATTAAGAAAAGGGACAATCTTTTGTGCATCCGTGTTGGTATGAAGACTGTAATTAAGTTACGTTTCAAAGCTCATTTTTATTTCTCCATGACATCAACAAGCATCTGAAATGTAGTGGGCAAACTGCAACTTGCAAAGGCCATCACTGTGTATTAGAGGAAATCATCAGGTATCATAAATGTGCTTCAGTTAGCTAATGGACATGACTAAATTCAGTTTCCTTTTTTACTGCAACATCTTCATTTGCAGCTTTCTTGTGTGTCTAAATGAAAAGCATGAGATCAGGTGAATTTATAAACTTGGGTTGTCCATGCAGTATTGATTCATTATCACAAAAACAAAAGGCAAATTACAAGAAGCTATATTTGGCTTAAACTCTACATAAAGGCACACAAAGTCTGTTTACTTCAGTTCATCACTGTGTAGTCATGCAGTGATGGACTATGTAAATACTCCCTTCCACACATTTTAATTATTATTATTTTTTTAATATGGAGATCTGTAAACCCTCAAAAGCCAAATATTTAATTGAAATACTAATCGAAGCAGGTGATTACGTACTGAAGGCATGAGTGGCATCACGTGCCGCTTTTATTTAAAATGTTTCTTTTAAGTTTGTTTCCAGGGTAACTTGCCGATTTCAGCAGCTTATTCATTGGGAGACCAATCCACGGCCTGGAAGCGTGTTTGGGATGATTGTCACACTGCAAAATGAAGCTGTTGAAAGTCAGATACTTTCCTGATAGTACTGTGCAGTGAAACAAAATCTGACAAGATCCTCACCAGCACTGGCTGAAATGCTCCCATCACACCATCACAGAGCGTCAGACACTCCCCGTTACTCCTCTGTTCACAATGCTGACAATGATTTGAACCCAAATTTTTAAGTTTGACTTCATCTCTCCATAAAACCTGTTGCTGCTGATTTTCAGTCCAAAGAAAAACTCATCAGAAAGACGACAGAACTATTGCTTGAGACCACTTTAAACGTGACAAGAACGTCTGGTTCCTTAGAAGCAAAACAGAAAGAAATGGGGGGTGGCTCAAGACTTTTGCACAGCTCTATATGGTGGAAGAAAATCTACCGCATAGAAATGAGTCACACCGATTTTAATAGATCCAAATTATGATTTGTGTTGTATAATGGGGTCTGGTGGTTCCCATTGCAAGAATCACCGTTATTTGCTCACATTAATCCGTACCATCATAAGTAATTTCATAGTGATGCAGCCACATGTATCAGACATGGCGCCCTGGCCTCTTATCTGCTAACAATGATGAATGGCTCACTGCAGCCAGTGATGAATAGCTGTAGGCTGCTCTTCATTTTCTGCTTCATTAAAAAAGTATCGATCCTTTTTCACACAAAAATCTTCAGCAGCACCTCAGACGACTCAGGCGACCACCACCACACACTGCACCATCACAAAAGTGCTTCCTGACCCTTTACTAAACTCTAGACTAAACTCTAGACTTAGTTTGGGAATCAAGGCAGTAATGAATTTATGTCCAGCCCAATGCTAAAACTGTATCTCACATCCTTAGCCTTAGCCTGGTTTTGCTCATTTAGGAATGTTGCAGCCGATTGCTCTGGATTTCTAAGAAAATATATTTTAAAAAAATTTATAATTACTACATCCTGATCTTAATGCACACTAAACAGTTTTGCTTGATGACTCAGTGCTAACCAATCTGACAGGGGTTTTGGCATTATTTGGGGTTTGTAGCACTAGTGTGATTTCATCCTGCAAAAAAAAAAAAAACAAGTGAAAAGGATACGCAAAGTAATGACATTAAAGATGAAAGTGTGTAAGTGTTTTAAAAATAATAAGATCATAACTAAGATTTTTTAAAAATATGTGTAACACAAATGTGATAGACATATTTTTAGATTCTGCATGGCAACACTTTTCAAAGTGCTGTCTCAAATAAACCTGAAAGAAACGATTCAGATGTTAGAATGAGTAGCTTTAGTGTTGTTTTTTTAATTAAAATGCTTTCACATTAAATCATGTTATCAGCTAATGCTAGCAACCCTGGTTAACAAGTTGCATCCATACACTGTATGGGAGCAACACACATAAATAAACGAATAAAATATAATTTTACTCACCAAAACAGGAGCACAAACTTCAACAGCACCACAAAAAGATCTGATTTAATGACTGGAATTAGCAGAAGTGAGGCCCTGCAGGAGCACCTGCCTGTGTTGGCACACCTGTCATAGCAGTCATGCTGCAAACTTTAAGACCAAACAAAGTCATGAAAGGTGAATTATAAAAAAGATTCAGGTTCGGCACATTTGTTATGGAGGAGGAAATTTGCTCTGGACTGAAAGTGATTTTTCTCTCAGGCAGTAAACATGCTATTTTCATTGATGACGTTGGGCGTTTCAACACTGGAGCCTATGGGGAACGACTCACTTTTGAAGCCAGACTCAAGTGGCCACTAGAGAAAACGCAGTTCTTTTGACATTTTAGAAATGGCTTCATGTTTCAGCCACTGGAGACTGCAACTTAATGTCCACTGTGTTTTCAGAAAAATGTCATCGAAGTATCGTAGAAAGAAGAAGGAGAAAGCGGCTGCTGGAATATACAAATGCAATCCTTTCATAACGTGTTTTTTCTTGTGCAGGTCATGCCATCATTTCCAACTACCTACTAAACTACTTTCCTGGTCTGGACATCGAGAGGAGGAACTGTCACGGTTTCACAGCTTTGATGAAGGCTGCCATGCAGGGCCGGGCTGAGTGTGTTAGATCGATCATGTTGGCAGGTATATAAATGCAATAAAGATCATGAAAGCCTCAACACCGAGGGAACAAAGAAAACATTTCTAAAAATTATTGTGATTTTCAAAACACCCCCCCCACATATCCATACAGGAGGTGATATCCAGGCTCGGGACTTTGGCCGGAAAATGACACCCAAGGAGTGGGCGCTCTTCACCGGTCGGTATGAAACAGCCCGCCTGATGAGTCGGCTGATGTCCAACCCTTGTCCTGAGCAGTTCTGTGACTCCTTCTCCCTGGAGTGGCCACTGCTGGAGGTTAATACACGTTTCTTAATTTTGGATCAACTGTTGAAGGCACCGCATTTAAAATATAATCCAATTTTCAAGTTAAATGTTTCTTTTTTAAATGAACTATTTGGTCTTCTACAGGAGTTGGTGGCCCAGGCCCAAGAGCCAAAGACCTGTAAGCAGCGTTTGATCAACCTTCTTTCCTGCTGCCCTTATAGATTTTACATCAACAACAAGGTAAAACCTATGGAAGATGGTGTCCTTGAACACATGGTCCGGATCACCACGGGACTGTCCAGTCCGCTTATCGCCACAGCTTGCCGCACGGTGTGCCCGAGCAGCCCGCCGTGCATCGGAAAACGTCGTCACGCGGTGCAAGAGATTCTAAAGAGGCAACGTCTGGCGGAGCTGAAGCGCTTGGGCCCAGAGAGGCTAAACAACTACAAGAAACGTTTCCAGAACTCACGGATCCTCCTCATCCCCAGGGAGAAGGATCGGAGGGCCAGTCTCCAGCCTCAGCTGCTAAACAACATGGCAGCGGCGTCCACAGTGGCCATAAGACGAGCCAGCCTGCTGCCACTCCATATGCTGAGGAGAAGCAGTGTGAGGCCGGGCCTAGTGGTTCCCAAGGTGAGGCTCTGCAAGGCCCCAGCTCCAAGCTACAAACCAGAAAAACTCAGAAGGAACAGTAACCAGAACCAGCTCCAGATACCCAAGTGGGATTATAAAATGAAGAAAATAGGGAGGATGCAGGAGGAGGAGCGGCAACGACTGCTACCCCTGATTAGGAGAAGATGAAGGACCAAAGAAAGCTAAAGGAGACGTGACTTACTGTAGCTTCAAAGTGCTCAGTGTAAATCTCGACATGGCTCTCAAAATGCATATTCTTGCAGAAAAAGACACTTTGTAGACCAAACTGCTCATCGTCTTCTTTGTTAGGGTTTCCTGCAATGTTGCCTTTTTTTCTACTTGAAACCACTCTTACTTTTCAAGGTGCACTTTGTGCTGGAATGTGGCAGATATGGGAGCACAAGAAAAATATCATGTACATGTAACATAATAGCTCTTATTTGTATGTCTGTTGGTATGCTGACAAATTCATTGTGTATTATTATGCATTCTATGGAATGTGGCAGAGAGTGGTGAGATGCTTATTCAAAAAAAGGAAAACATCACACATTACTCATTACTTTTCTTAAAAGTAACACAGTACTTAATTACTCATCATAGAAAGTAATCTGTGGACACTAACGGTTACATTACTTACATGTTACTCTATAATAAGTCCTGAAATGCACTGTCACATTAACTATAAACCTGAGGCTACAGTCCCACACACTGACACAAATCCCTATCCTGATGAGGGCACAGCGTTAGCTTTAAACACAAAACCTACAACAAAACACAAAAACGAAATCAGGACAAAGAGAATTTAAAGGGATTATAGAAAAAAACCTCATCACTGCCTTTATTACCTATCTAAACCCAGGCTCTATCTGCTGGGGTGGGCTCTTCATCCGCCCAGCTATACCCCTCAGCTAGCTATTCGCTAGCTTTGTGTTAGCAATAGCATGCTATCTATGCAGATGCCCCTGAAGAGCTAATGTTGTGTTAGCAGTATAACACACGTTGTGTTGTTTTTGTATGTATACCGAGCTTGTTATTAACTGCACGCACACACTGAACTCTGCTCCGCTTCCACTTTATTTCTTATTCTTTTTCCGTTGCCCTGAAGCTTCTTGCTCGCGAGTGAATTACACACATTGCAGCAACACAGTGCCATCTAGTGGCTGATACACACATGAGTCAACATGCTACATCTCCCTTCTTTAAAAAAAAAAAACACAACTCAGGCTTGTAAAATTTCTAAGGCAACTGAAATTACAGGAATAACATCCTGAGCACATCCATTGATAACATAGCATTCGACTCAATACTGGCTATATCACAAACATAATAAACAGATGCATTTAATGACATCATTGGAACAACAAACATATAAACAGCCTCTTTTTTTTTTTTTTCCTAGGGCAGCGATCCGCCTGCACCCTTTACAATATTACAGGTCCAAGACCTGTCTTGGTTTGGTAACACGCCCATATCGAGTCGTGTATCCAGGTGTTGTAATGTCTTCACCAGGGGGCTCCACAGGCGGGGGCTGAGATACCACAGGGCTGTCATCGCTGATGCCTGTTGGTTGAATGAACTCCTCACCTCCTATGCTGTTCCTGCTTCTGCGGAGGTGTCGGCGGTTACGCCGGTAAACTTGTCCTGTATCTGTGGTTATGTTGTAGCTTCTGGACGTGTCGGCACAACTTGTGACCACAGCTGGCTTCCAGGAACCGTCTTGTTGCCGGAACCGGACCGGTGTGCCAGGACATAGTTGAGGCAGAGGTCGGGCGGCTTTGTTGAAATAAGTCTGCTGGCGCTGCTGGCAAACCTCTCTCCTCTCACGCACTGTTTGCTGGCAAACTACTTGGGGTTCCAGCTGTTTTGATGTTGCAGGGAGGATGGAGCGAAGTCTCCGGCTCATGAGTAGTTGTGCAGGCGACTTTAAGTTGTCCACGGGGGTGTTCCGGTATTCTAATAGGCTCAAGTAGGGATCCTTATGTTCCGCTTTGGCCTTGTCCAGAAGTTTTTTTGCTGTCTGGACTGTTTTCTCGGCTAGGCCGTTGCTCTGTGGGTAATGGGGACTAGTATTGGTGTGGGTGAAACTCCATGACTTTGCGAACTGTTGAAACTTACTCGAAGCATAGCACGGACCGTTATCACTAATCACCGACTCTGGAATACCATGCCTAGCCATGACTGACTTTAGTTTGTGGATCACTGCTTCTGCAGTGCAGCTGCGCAGTCTTTCCAACTCGAAGAATCTACTGTAGTAATCTACCATGATGATGTAGTCTTCCGAGTTCCAAGTGAACAGATCGGTGGCTATGACCTGCCACGGTCGTTCTGGTATTGCATGTGACAACAGGGGTTCCTTGGGGTTAGCAGCTTGTCTCTCCTGGCATGTGCTGCAGGCTCCGACTGCTTCCTCAATCTGCTTTCCCATGCCTGGCCAAAACAGAAGGTCTCTGGCTCTGTTTTTGCTCTTTTCTATACCCATATGGCTGGAATGAATCCGATCTATCATGTCCTTTCTGAGCCTTTTTGGGATGATCATTTTCTCTCCTTTAAACATGATCTCGTCTATCAGTGAGATCTCATCCCTGTGGTTCCAAAACTCCTGGATGTCAGGCGGGCATTGAGACCTTTTATCTGGCCATCCACTCAATGTGGTCCTTCTCAGGGTGTTGAGCTGAGGATCCTGGGCTGTTTCGTTTCTTATCTCTGAGAGTCTCTGGTCACTGACAGGCATGTTGCTGAGGACTGAGTGGATCTGCGCATCCATCCCGTCACATAGTGATTTGACGTGGAACTCTATGGATTTCCGGGAGAGCGTGTCGGCTACCGGGATGTCTTTCCCTGGCTTGTGGATGATGCTGATGTCGTACTTTTGCAGCTGTATTATCATCCTCTGTAGCCGTGGTGGTGCTGATGCTAGTGTTTTTTTGAGTATGGACTCAAGTGGCTTGTGGTCCGACTCAATGGTCACATGTCGACCGTACATGTACTCGTGGAACCGCTTGCAACCAAAGAGAACAGCATACAGCTCTTTTTCTATTTGGGCATAGTTCTGCTCAGTGCTGTTAAGTGACTTGGATGCGTAGGCAACTGGCTTGCCGTCCTGCAGCATCACAGCACCGAGGCCACTTTTGGATGCATCGACCTGGAGTCGTAGCGCTTTCTTGGGGTCAAAGAAGGAGAGAACTGGGCCTGGTTCTTTAGTGATCAGCTCCTTCATTCGTTGAAAGGCTCTGTCATGGTTCTTGTCCCATACAAACTCACTGTCCTGCTTTAACAGCTGGCGGAGCGGAGCATTTATCTCTGACAGGTGTGGGGCAAATCTTGCTAGATAATTAACCATCCCCAGCACTGTTTCCAATTCCGCCCTGTTCTGTGGGGGCGCCATGTCTTGGACTGCTTTTACTTTTTGTGGATCTGGTTTCAGCCCTTCATGTGACAATGTGTGACCGAAGTAACTGACCTCTTTGACGCAGATGGTGCACTTGTCAGGGTTCAGTTTTACACCTCTCTCTCTGCTGCGCTGCAGCATGGCCCTCAGGTTGTCGTCATGCTCCTGTTTGGTTTCTCCGAAGACCAGTACGTCGTCCACAATGGCTGCCACGCCCCTCAGGCCCTCGTAGGTCTCGTCCACGCGTCGCTGGAACTCATCCTGAGCTGAGATTATGCCGAATGGCAACCTGAGGAAGCGGTACCTGCCAAACACAGTATTAAATGTGGTTAACAGAGATGATTCGTGGCTTAGCTTAATGGCCCAGTAGCCTGATCTGGCGTCCAAAACACTGAAATACTTGGCCCCAGCAAGTTTTGTGGTGACATCCTCCAAGGTGGGTAGAGGGTAATGGGGTCTTTGTATAGCCTTGTTGAGGGGTCTGGGGTCCAGACATACTCTGAGTCTGCCCGTCTTGGGTTTTCCCACAACAACAAGTGCATTCACCCAGTCCGTAGGATCTGTGACCTTGCATATGATTTGATTCCTTTCCATGTTGTCGAGCTCGTCTTTGAGTCGGGCTCGCAGAGCGATGGGAATCCGACGAGGTGGGCTGACTGTGGGTGCAACGTCTGGATTTACATGGAAACTGCATTCACCAGGAAATTCTCCTATCCCTTTAAATACGTCAGCATATTCGTCCAGCATTGCCTGTGAACTGTTGGTTGTCTTGCCTCTTTCTTCCGTCACTGCCATCACGATCCTTACCAGGTTAAGGTCACGGCAAGCTTTCATTGCTAATACAGGTGGGGCGCTTGTGTTAACAACATGGAATTCCAACGTGCAGGTCTTGTCTTTGTGTTTGCATTTTAACTGGCATTTTCCTGCCACGCTGAGTGAGTGTCCTCCGTAATCTGTGAGCTTGTGTGTGACAGGCTTCAGTGTCACATGTGGGAAGAGTGTCTGGAACATGTTGGCTGGAATTGTGTTTGCTTGCGCCCCAGTGTCAACTTTAAACCTCACTGTCTGTGGGGGGGAACCAAGCTGCATGTCTGCATATGCTTGCTCATCCTTTCTTCCTTCATTTTCTATGGTGATGCTATCAATGTAGAAACAGTCTTGGTCCTCATCTGTGTCCTTAGTTGTCGTTTCTATGTTCTCTCTCACAGTGTGTACTGATTTGAGGTGGGTTTTTGTCTGCGAAGGGAGTCTTGACCTGCATGCTCTTGCAAAATGGTTCATTTTCTTGCATTTTGCACATTGCTTCCCTTTTGCTGGGCAGATGTCTTTATTACTGTGTTGTCCGGCACAATAGCTGCACGTTTTTAGTGTTGCATTAGCGTGTTCTTTTGGTCTCACGCTTCTTGTTTGATATTCTTGTCTGTGCGATTTCCTGCCGATGGCGTGCACAGTTTCTTGGCCCCTGGAGTGACCCATAGTTTTTAGCTGTTGCTTTGCTAGCTCGTGTGATCGTGCTATATCTATAGCTTTCTCTAGCGTGAGCTCTGCGCCTTGGCTGAGTAGCTTTTCTCGGACGTGTGGCGAGTTAGTGGCAAATACAATGCGATCCCTGACCATTTCATCTGTATTTGGGTATCCACAGTCTTTAGCAAGTAGTTTCAGTTCCGTAATAAACTGTTCAAATGTCTCATTTTCACCCTGCATCTTTTCATGAAACTTATATCGGGCGTAGATTGGGTTAGCTTTCGGTATGATGTAATCAGTGTACTTATCGTAGTACGTCTGAAGCTTTCGGGAGTCGTCT